GGAATGTAACCCAACGCAGGGCTTACCTAGCATGCGTGAGGCCAGAGTACTTATGCCAAGAAAGAACAGAAGAGGGGCCGGGAGATGGCTCAGAATAAGCGCTTCCCTGGCAAGCGCAAGGGCCTGAGTTCAATCCCCGGTTCCACCAAAAAAAAAAAAAACAAAAAACAAGAAAGAACGAAAGAAAACAAAACGCCATGACATCAACTTACTTCTTTTTTTTTTTTTTTTTGCGGAAGTTTGAGCTGTCCTCAAATTCAGTTACCTTCCTGCCTCAGCTTCCCAAGAACTGGTATTACAGACTTACGCCACCTGTATAACCCCAGCACCCAAGAGGCTGAGGTAGGAAGATCACAAATTTAAGGCCAGCTTGGACTGTACATCAAGACCCAATCTCAGGGCTGGTGAGATGGCTCAGTGGTCTAAAGCACCTACTTAGAACAAGCTCAGCAAAGCATAGGGATGGCGGTTCAATCCCCCAGCACCACATGCCAGCCAGCCCCGCCCCCTGGTGGGCTGAGCTGGCCACACACACACACACACACACACACACACAAAATTAAAAAAAAAAAAAAAGACCCAATCTCAAAAAATACCCACTCACACACAAAAGAAAAATCCAGGATGGGGATGTAGCTCAGTGTTAGGCAATTACCTAGCATGCACAACGGTTCATTCATTATTGAAGCACGTAATGCAATACACAAAAAAGCCCCAAATGACACTCAGGAAGCCATAGGGCCAGGGAGATGGCTCAGTAGAATAAGCACTTCCCTGGCAAGCATTAAGGGCCTCAGTTCAATCCCCGGTTCCACCAAAAAAAAAAAAAAAAAAAAAAAAACCAAACAAACAGCCCCCAGACATGGTCATAGTGCTACACACCTGTAATCCCAGCCATTTGGGAAGCCAAGGTGGAAGGGTCACTGTGAGGTCAAGGCCAGGCCCAAATTATATCATCACCTCTCTTAACCAAAAAAAACAGGGCCAGGGATATAGCTCAGTGGCATAAGCACCTGTCTGGAAAGTGCAAGGTCCCAAGTTTGATCCCCAGTACCAGAAAAAAAATTAGAGATTTAACCAAAAGATAGGGCCATGTGTGGTGGCACACGCCTGTGAACCTGTGATCCCAGCACTTGGGAGGCTGAGGCAGAAGGATCACTGTGAGTTCAAGACCAACCTAGGCTACAAAGTGAGCTCAAGGCCATCCTCAACTGCAGTGAGACATAATCAACTTAGTTCCTTAAATGAACCTTAGCTCAAACAACAGGAGCTCAGTGCTCAGTCAGGCTGAACACAGGGCGAAAGGACCTATGAATAAAAAAAATATTTCCTGTGGTTATTGAGAATTGAACTCTGAACCTCATGCTTTTGGAGCTGGCTCAGTAGAATAAGCGCTTGCCTAGCAAGCATAGGGCCTGAGTTCAATCCCCAGTTCCACAAAGAAAAAAAAGAAAAACAAAAATCAAAAAGCAATATACTGGGGCTGGTGAGATGGCTCAGTGGTCTAAAGCACCTACTTAGAACAAGCTTAGCAAAGCCCTGGGACCACGGTTCAATCCCCCAGCACCACATGCCAGCCAGCCCCGCCCCCTGGTGGGCTGAGCTGGCCACACACACACACACACACACACACACAAATAAAATATAAAAAAAAAAAAGAATAAAAAAAGCAATATACTTGTGAACCTCATGCTTGCCAGGGAGGCGCTGTACTGCTGAACTATGTCACTAGTACTGAACAAAATTTCAACAGTAGTGGGGATGGAACCCCAGGACTACTGCACTGAGTGACATCCCCAGCCCTTTTTACTTCTGAGACTGGATCTTGCAAAGTTGCCAAGCCTGCACTTGAACTTAAGATCCTCCCGCCTCACTTCCAGAACACTGGGATTCGAGGCGTGCATCATCATGCCCAGCTGGCTCACAAGTTTGGGTTTCAGTTCACCTGTAACACTGAATGGCCAGTGCTACGGGTGGGCTATGTTCCTCCAACCCCACAACTGGTACTGGTGTTCAGGACACTGTGCAGTACCCCTTGGCTGGCAGCAGGTGCTTCTGCTGCTACATCACACCGCTCCTACAGACCAGAGTGGGTCCAAAGCCATCCACGCAGTGTTCTTTTCCAACCCATAATCTACACTGTTACTCCTGGCTTTACAGATCAGAAGAAAAAAGGGGCTTGTGTGCTGCTGTTCCTTCAGCAACACACACACACACACACACACCACACGAGGCCCTCGCCAGGGCTGCCTGCCCGTGCTGCCACCTCACCTTCCCCAGGCTCCACAGCCAAGCAGCTGGCTCTGCAGTAGCCAGACGGCGCCCAGAGGTGCTAGCTATGCGAGTGCAGTCACCTGCAGGGCCGCTGCTGACAATGCTCTAAACACACCTGTTTGTAGAGCCACAGCAGAGTGCAGACAACAGTAATGTCGGCCAGTGTCACTCTCTCGCCCACCAGAAAGGTCCTGGTCTTCAAGTGGGCATCCAGCAGCCCCAGCACTCGCTTCACCTCCTCCTTTGCATTTTCCGTAGCCTGCTTGTTGTGGTGCATGATGCCCAGGGTGGGAAACACCCAAGTGCTAGCGGGAGGCACGATGTCACTGTCAGCAAAGCTCACCCACTGCACTACCTGTGCGGCAGCCTCTGGAGTTCTTCCCCGAAGCTCCTCGTTGCTCACTGTGGAGGCCGGGCACAAAGGTCAGGACCTGGGGTCCTGCCTCTGACACTTCATCCAGACCCCAACACTCACCTACACTGCCAACACTTCCCCCAAATTACCATAGTAAGCAATGGCATTGCTCTCAAACACGCAGAATCCATCATCGCCCTCAAATGCTGGAACCTGAGGACAGAGACGCATAAGATAAAGTCAGAGGCACAGGAATTTCTCATGGGCTAATTCCAGGAACCAAGACATTATAAACACAAAACACTTGATCGAACCACGTGGTATCCCCTGCAATGTCAACCCACACTATCTAAATAAAACCCATCAATTAAGCACAATGCCAATCCAAGGGCCAGGGAAATGGCTCAGTAGAATCAGCGCTTGCCTGACAAGTGCAAGAGCCTCAGTTCAATCCCTGGTTCTGCAAAAAAAAAAAAAAAAGGCCAATCCAAGTCTCACACCCACAGTAAGAATCTCCTTCTTAAAAGATACTTGGTGCTTCTGTGCACATAGGACCCACAAACACAAATCTGATCTGAATTTCAGGCCGTCACTAAATAGTTCTGCATTATTTTATAAAAGTACATCTAGATCTACCACGATTACAGAAAAAACGTCCTCGGAATCTTTGATGGAGTCTGAAAACGTGAAACAACATTGGAAGCTTCCTTTCATTTTAAAAATGGAGGCCCCCTCAGGGTGACGGAATACTAGGCTCTGAGTTCTCAGGAGGAAAGGGCCCCATTCACCTCTCCACTCACCTTGCCAGCAGGAAATTTGCGGAGAAATTCAGGGGTGCGGTTGGTTTGGCCAAAGTGGAAGTGGGGTGGTGCAGAGAGCACGCGAATCTGAGACCCGCTGTACTGAGCAGCGATGAGAGCCTTGAAGGCCCTCCAGTTTTCAGGGTACGTGTACAGGGTCTACGCAAAAAATGGGACATGCATGAGCGGAGGGAGGGCCCCGATGCCGAACGATCCCCCTGCGTCTTCCCTCAGGACACCCAGGTTCTTCGCTGTTGGCCCTCCGGCAACACTGAAAACCGATCTGCAAGCCAGCTGCTAAATAAAGGAGGCTGCCATCTGACCTTCCCCGAGGACACCTCTGCCCCGCCAGCGCATCTCCAGACAGCGTAACCTGGAGCCGCACCAGACTCACCTGCCAGCCGGAGCCGCGTTTCATTCATTTCTCTGAGCCTGCGCCTCCCTCCTCCGGATGCCGGAGCCCCGCGTCTCCCTCCCGGGAGGTCCCGCTGCGGGCTCCTCCCGTACTCCCCTCCGTACCCGGCTAGCGGGGCTCGCAGCCAGGGCCAGAACTCCCCATGCGACCCGAGGCCCCTCTCCCTGTCCCCGCCAGTCGACGGCAGGAGTGCCATCTGCTTACCCAGCACCCTCTTCTCACACGACGAGCAGGGAAGCTCTGCAGATGCCGGGCAGCACAAACTCTAACTCCCCGTTCTCAGAGCTCCGCTCTAGCTCGACCCTCTGTCCTGTGGCCTAAGCACCCTGCTCTGCCGACACAGCGGACTGCAGACCCGGTTTGGCCCCCCACTTGACTACAGAGCGCCTCTGGTCCCGCCTAGCCACTCTGGGCAATAGGATGGCGCCGGATAGGACGATCCAGCTCATCGGAGCCGGCAAACTCACCCCTGCCGCCATGGTGGTTCCGCAGAGAAAGGAGGTGGGGCTCCGGCGCTGCCGCAAAGTAAACCGGCAGGAGGGGGGTGGGGTGAGCTGTGGGGAAGCAGTAGCCGGAAAGTGAGGACGGCATAGAAGACCTACGCACGACAGTTTCTTGTTCAGCAGCGTAGGGCTCAGGAAAAGGGGTGGAGCCTGACAGCGGAACTCTTGATTGGCCCTCCCGAGTAGACCAGGCCAATTGGAGCCTCGAACGGAGATGGGCAGCACAGAGGGTGGGGAAAGCGTGAGAACCCGCCGGAAGGGCCGCCCCTAGTGGCTCGGACGGGTGGTGTGGGAGGGAGCCGGTGGCTGGCGAGGGGAGCTAGGGGACCCGGTGAGTAGACTAAAGAGGAAGGGGGTAGGAAGGTTTCCCTGCAGGGTTGGGGGGAGGACGTCCCACAGGGAGGCAGGTTCCCAGCAGATGCGCAAGCTGGTGACCCTCGTTCCGTCCCCGCAGGGATGGTGCTGCGTCTGGGTCCCCCGCAGGGCTCGTAGGGACCCGAGCTAGTGGCGACCAGGTTTGGGTGTGAAAACGTTGGACACAGTGCTAAGTACAAACCCGTTTCTCTGCATCCCCTCCGCCCTGAGGTCCTGCTTCACAACATGGGCTGGGCCTGAGGAGGCAACAGAGGACACAAGGACACTGATGTGGTGCAGCAGCTTATTGCTTTATTGTCTGGCGCAGAGCCTGGGGCACAAAGCCCTGCAAGAAGTGGTGCAGCTCAGGGAATAGGCCCTGTGTGTCTCGCAGCGGAGTGATTGTGAGCGTCCCCTCTGCCTCGGATACGCTCGCCATGAAAGCCACGAGGGGCTCAACCCTCGCTTCCTGCTCCATGCCACCCCCAGGTCCCACCAGCTCCTGGGTCACCCGGGCCTCGGTCGCCAACCACTCAGCACCTGTAGCACCCCCCTGGCTCTGCCGCCGCTGCTGCAGGCGACGCCGGGCTCGCCGCCGCCCTTGCCACGTGCGGTGCCACAGAGTACAACGCCAGCTGGCGCGGCCCTGGCACGGTTGGATCAAAACTGGGTGGCCCTTTTCTTCCTCTCCGGAGCCAGGGCACCTGCTAGCCACCAGCGGCAGATTCCCTGGCTGCCCAGAGCTCCATATGCCCCAGTCCTGCGCCGCCTCGCCAGCCTCCACAACCATCTCCTCCTCTGCTTCTCGACTGAGGTCAGAGGCATGTCCCCACAGCGCCTCATCCCCACCCTTGCCACCTTCTCTGTGCCCTTCCAACTTCAGTCTCTTGCCAGCTCCTCCCTGGGCGGCCTCCTCTATCCCTGCTCTGGGCCTTGGCCTCTTTGTTCCCTGTTCTATCTGGCACCCCAGTGCGTCCTGCAGCACCCGGACCAGAGCAGCAGCAAGCTGGGGAAAGGGCACTGTGGGTAGGGGGATGGGCGTAGCCAACAGCAGCGCAGCAGGGGATCGGGGCTGCAGGAGAGGCAGCAGGCCCCAGTCGCGGCCTCGGGCAGAGCGTCGCTGATACTGCAGGCTCCGGCAGTAACTGGCTGCAGCACGGCAGCAGTTCTGCAGCCGCCCAGCCACACAGCTGGTCACATTGGCAGCCACGTTGTGACTCAGGTCAAAAGGGTCTTGGAGATTCATGGGACCCAGACGCAGACCCTCCCAGAGATCAGCTAGTTGGCCCCTGGGCACTGATAGTGCCCTGCCCTCCCGCAGGGATAGCAGCGAGCTTCGAAGATCCCAGCAGGAGACACAGGAGAAGAACTGGGCCAGCAGGGAGCCTGGAAGGGAAACCAGAATGGGCGCAGGGGTCACTTGGAGCTACTTCTGTAACAGGGCTGGCTTCATCCCCAAGGCTCCTGCAGCCCACAGACAAGAGGCCACCCCCTTCCCCTGCTCTGCTCTGGGGCAGTTTCTTCCTCTGTAGTGCATGTGTGCTGAGCGTAGCAGCCCTAGACTGCTGTGGGAACTCACACCTGGGCAAGTACTGAGTGTGATTTTTTTTTTTTTCCTGTAGTATGGGGGATTGAACTCAGGACCCTGCACTTGCCAGGCAAGCGCTTATTCTACTGAGCTATCTCCTCAGCCCGAGTGTGACTTTTGACACGTCCCCTACCACCCGCCTGTCTGTACACACTACCCACTCACCCAGGGGCTCCACATTGGTGCTAGGTTCCAGGCTAGAGGCGTCCCTGGGGAAACTGCAGTCCCAGCCATCCACTTCAACCCGTTCCCCCTCACCTGTGAGGGCAGAGGAGGGATGAGCTTGCAGGGAAGAGAGAAGCAGGTACCAGCAGGTAGTACCCTGGGGGGGGATGTGTGCCCAGCAGTACCTGCTTTCTGGGTGAGCTGGGCCACTGTGGGCAGCACAGGGGGGTCCCGAGTCTGCAGGAAGTAGACCACGAGCAGGGTCAGAGCATAGTTGCTGAGGAGGGGCCCACTCCCTGGGTAAGCAACCAAGAATGCATTAGAAGAGGGAGCCCACCGCACGGCCATCACCTTGCCCCTGGCCCCACACCAGCGCAAGACACATCTGTCCTAATCTACTCTTACCTGCTAACCCTCGGCCCTGCGCCCAGCAGCGAACTGTGTACACAAGGGGCCGGACACGCCCATCCAGCTCAGAGCACAAGCTTAGGAACTGGGAGTTATGCAGGGCCAGCCTGGGGGAGAGGACAGAGAGATGTCATGTGCAGCAACCCTGGCAACCACTTGCCCACCTGCTCCATCCAGACTTAAGAGGACAAGAGCAGAAGTGCTGCTACCGTGTGATTTTTGAGAGAGACTGTCAAAGGCTGGGTGTAGCTTCATGGTACAGCACCTGCCGAGTATGCGTGTATCCCAGGGTTTAATCCTCAAACTCAAAACAGGGACGGGGGGTCAGCCTGATAGCTCCGCAGGCTAAAGCACCTGCTTAGGCAGAGTGCAGCTTGCCTGGCTTGTGTGAAGCCCCATCAAGTCCCAGCATCAAGACTGCTGGGTATAGTGGGACACCTGTTATCCTAGCACTCTGAAAGGCCAAGGCAAGAGAATCGCAAGTGAGGGATCCTGTCTCAAAAAAGGGCTTGGAGATGTGTGAAAGCCCTGGGTTCCATCTTCTCCACAAAAGCAGAGCAAAGAAAAGACTGCTGGGAGCCTGTAACATGCAACGGAACAGAGCCTGGATGGGCAGGAAGAAAGGAGGCGGGCTGTGTGGCCTTTCCTCTAGCACTTCACAGATCAGTGCAGCCTCTCGCCTGTTCCTTAGAACCAACATTTCAAGGCACGCTCTTCCCAAAAGGTACCGGTTACCGAGGGAGATGTCACCATGAAGCCCTGAAGGCCGATGGCAGAACTTCACCACAGGGCGCCGGGCTGAGGGCACACTGTGGACTCGGTATACGCCAGGGACACAGCGCCGCAGGATGGAGCCCACCAGCTCCAGCATGGCCACTCCTGCCGGCCTCTCGTCCACCAGGGCCACTGTGGTGCCCTTCTCAGGGTCCCCCTCGCCCCTGTCCTCCTGTAGTGGTGAGGCTGGAGGCAACGACTGCGGAGAGGCAAGGGTCTCTGAGGCCAGCGCAGAGTCTGGTGTCTGGGGTGCTAGGGACGAGGACAGGGTCTCAAAGTCCAGCACTTCACAGCCGTGGGGAGACACAGGGGACGGCGAGTCCGCAGGGGAGGCTGGGGTACAGGCTTGAGGGTTCAGGGGGGAGGCAAGGGCAGAGTCAAAGGATGGAGACCCTGGAGCCTTCCCGGCAGCCTGTGGATGGAAATGCACCGTGTGAGTCCTGGCCTACAGGCCCCAAGCCAGGGATATCAACACCCGCAAGACAGTATCTGCTACTGCCAGACCCTATTCCGCTGGCTTTCCACATTGTAAGTTCTTCCAATTCTCACGGCAACCTTAAAATCAAAATCCTTGGGCCAGAGACATAGGTCAGGGGAGTAAAGTGCCTGCTTAAGCAAGTGCAGCTACGCCAGCCCCAGCCCAGGGCAGGCGAGCCAGCCACAAAGTGCATGCACGCCTGTAATCCCAGCTCTGGGGAGGCTGAAAACAGGAGGATCACTGTGAGTTCAAGCTGCGCAGTGAGACCCTGTAACAACCAAATACATTAAAAATGGTAATAAAAAAAATCCTTCAACTCCATAAAATAAATGTGCCAGGCAGGCACAGTGGTGCTGGCCTGGGATCTCAGCGCTCAAGGTGCTGGCAAGACCCCACCTCAAAACTTAAGTTACTCCTACACTCTGACACAGTGCCACTGTCCCAAGAGACAAAAATGCAGGAACCATTTCAAAGCAAAGATTGGAAACACAACCCCACAGTACATGTCAAGACAGCTAACAATGAGCAGAGCTGCCAGTTCAGTGTGGGGCTCCACACTGGTGCCCCTTTGTTCTTAAGTAACACATTAAAATAATAGGGGGCAGGGGCCAGGGAGATGGCTCAGTGGAATAAGTGCTTCCCTGGCAAGTGCAAGGGCCTGAGTTCAATCCCCGGTTCCATTACTAATCCCTTCCTATTTCAAAAGCAGAATTAGATTAGAAAATAGATTAGAGGGGCCGGGGAGATGTATCAGTAGAATAAGCACTTGCCTGGCAAGTGCAAGGGCCTGAGTTCAATCCCTGGTTCTGCAAAAAAAAAAAAAAAAAAAAAGAAAAGAAAAGAAAAATTAGATTAGAAAATTAGATTTGGATTAGAAAATACAAGAACTGGCCAAATAGCTCAGTGGATTAAAGTGCCTGCAAGCAGGTGCAGGGGCAAGGAGTTCAATCCCTGGGCCTAGGGCTGGGGAGATGGCTCAGTACAATAAGCACTCGCCTGGCAAGCACAAGGGCCTGAATTCAATCCCCACTTCCACCAAATAAATAAATAAAAATAAAAATAAAAAAATTGGGGGGGGCCTGCCCCTTAGCTCAGTCAGTTAAGTGGCTGCTTCAACAAAGCAGTCAGGCTCAGGTCGCTGTGGTTCCATCCCCACAACACAAGCCAGCCTGTCATGCCTTGAAGGCATTCGGAGCAAACAAAAACACTTCAATCCCTGGGCCTGCCGTGCCAGCCCAATCCCCTGGGCGCGCTGAGACAGCAATTGAGACTGGGTGTGGTGGTGCACACCTGTAATCCCAGCTCTTGGGAGGCTGAAAATGGGGATCACTACAAGTCCAATCTCGTAGTGAAACCCTGAACACACTGTAGACCCTTCCCTAAAATACAAAAAAAAAGAAAGAAAATGCAATCAACATCTGGGCCCAGCAGCACAAGCCTATAACCTCAGCACTCAAGAGGCCAAGGCAGGAGACCGCAGGTTCAAGCTTGGGCACCTCTTGGCAAGCCAGTGACATCAAAGGGAAGAGGCTGGGAGTGCAGTGCAGTGTGAGACAGGCCCAGCTGCCTCAGCAATTCAACCGCCTTTCTGGGTGACAACGCTGCCACCATCAGCACCACAGCACTCCACTAGCATCACAGCATCTTCAACTCACTGCGTTGTAGTGAGACTCAGTAATTCTGACTGATACAACTCTACCAGATCTGTGCACATGCACCCTTTTATGGATATTTTTCCACAAAACAACATATACCCCACTTGGAAATCTGCTTTCTCCCCATCAGTCACCTGTCCCCCATCACCATGCACTTCCCCAGGACAGCAGCCTCGTGGGCAGGGCGCACATCCCCAAGGTGGAACTGAGGCACAGAGAGGCAAGGTGCTCACTCACAGGCCAGCCAGCACGCCCGCCCACTCACCTGGTGCTCCTCCAGCTCCCCCAGATCCAGGAAGAGGTCAAGGTCACAGCCATGAACATCAAAGCTGTTTGTGGAAGAGCCAAAAGGGTGGACCTTGCAACCTAAGGGTGGGGAGAGCCAAGATCAGGGCCACTGGAGGGGCATGGGTGTGAGCAGAGGGTGCCGGCCTGCACTTACCAGGGAAGAACTCTGTGAAGACCTCCTGCACCAGGGCCACCACCAGGCGCCGCAGCTGTCGCTCAGCTTCGGACAGCTCCCGCAGCGCCACCAGCTTCAGCATCTGCCCACCTACATCCGGGGCTTCAGCCAGCAAACTCAGCAGCTGGTCACTGTCCTCAGGTGCTGCACCGCGGGAGCCCCTAGAGGCCGGGCTCTGGAAGGCTTTCTGCTCTCGGGGCCGCACACGGAGGCGCTGTCCTCGAAGGCTGTGCTGGTCCTGGGCCAGGGCAGCATCCCGGGAAGCAACATCCTTCATCTCCACAATGGCAAATACTCCCTGCAGGTCCATAGGACTGAATGAGGACTCTGCCTCTGCCCCTTGAAATCACCTTCTTACTGATGATTTTCCCAAGGCAATCACGAAGATTAAATGAGACGATTTAGATTTCTTGGCACAGAATTGGTGGGCAGAAATTAATAATCCAGGGCTGGCGAGATGGCTCAGTGGTCTAAAGCACCTACTTGGAACAAGCTTGGCAGAGCACGGGGACCACGGTTCGATCCCCCAGCACCACATGCCGGCCAGCCCCGCCCCCTGGTGGGCTGAGCTGGCCACACACACACACACACACACACACAC